CATCATAACCAATATTACATCATAACCAATCTACTGTTTGTACATCATAACCAATCTACAGTTTGTACATCATAACCCATCTACTGTTTGTACATCATAACCCATCTACAGTCTGTACATCATAACCAATCTACAGTCTGTACATCATAACCAATCTACAGTTTGTACATCATAACCAATCTACTGTTTGTACATCATAACCAATCTACAGTTTGTACATCATAACCAATCTACAGTCTGTACATCATAACCAATCTACAGTTTGTACATCATAACCAATCGCTACTGTTTGTACATCATAACCAATCTACTGTTTGTACATCATAACCCAATCTACTGTTTGTACATCATAACCAATCTACAGTCTGTACATCATAACCAATCTACTGTTTGTACATCATAACCAATCTACTGTTTTGTACATCATAACCAATCTACTGTTTGTACATCATAACCAATCTACAGTCTGTACATCATAACCAATCTACAGTCTGTACATCATAACCAATCTACAGTTTGTACATCATAACCAATCTACAGTCTGTACATCATAACCAATCTACAGTCTGTACATCATAACCAATCTACAGTCTGTACATCATAACCCATCTACAGTCTGTACATCATAACCAATCTACTGTTTGTACATCATAACCAATCTACAGTCTGTACATCATAACCAATCTACAGTCTGTACATCATAACCAATCTACAGTCTGTACATCATAACCAATCTACAGTCTGTACATCATAACCAATCTACAGTTTGTACATCATAACCAATCTACTGTTTGTACATCATAACCAATCTACAGTTTGTACATCATAACCAATCTACAGTCTGTACATCATAACCAATCTACAGTCTGTACATCATAACCAATCTACTGTTTGTACATCATAACCAATCTAACAGTTTGTACATCATAACCCATCTACAGTTTGTACATCATAACCAATCTACATCATAACCAATCTACAGTCTGTACATCATAACCAATCTACTGTTTGTACAGTCATAACCAATCTACTGTTTGTACATCATAACCAATCTACAGTCTGTACATCATAACCAATCTACTGTTTGTACATCATAACCAATCTACAGTCTGTACATCATAACCAATCTACATCATAACCAATCTACAGTTTGTACATCATAACCAATCTACTGTTTTGTACATCATAACCAATCTACAGTCTGTACATCATAACCAATCTACAGTCTGTACATCATAACCAATCTACAGTTTGTACATCCTAACCAATCTACAGTTTGTACATCATAACCAATCTACAGTTTGTACATCATAACCAATCTACAGTCTGTACATCATAACCAATCTACAGTTTGTAACATCCTAACCAATCTACTGTTTGTACATCATAACCAATCTACTGTTTGTACATCATAACCCATCTACTTTCTGTACATCATAACCAATCTACAGTTTGTACATCATAACCCATCTACAGTCTGTACATCATAACCAATCTACTGTCTGTACATCATAACCAATCTACAGTTTGTACATCCTAACCAATCTACAGTCTGTACATCATAACCAATCTACTGTTTGTACATCATAACCCATCTACAGTCTGTACATCATAACCAATCTACAGTTTGTACATCATAACCCATCTACAGTCTGTACATCATAACCAATCTACTGTCTGTACATCATAACCAATCTACAGTTTGTACATCATAACCAATCTACATCAGTTTGTACATCATAACCAATCTACATCAGTTTGTACATCATAACCAATCTACTGTTTGTATATCATAACCAATCTACAGTTTGTACATCATAACCAATCTACATCAGTTTGTACATCATAACCAATCTACAGTCTGTACATCATAACCAATCTACATCATAACCAATCTACATCAGTTTGTACATCATAACCAATCTACAGTTTGTACATCATAACCAATCTACAGTCTGTACATCATAACCAATCTACATCATAACCAATCTACAGTCTGTACATCATAACCAATCTACAGTTTGTACATCATAACCAATCTACATCAGTTTGTACATCATAACCAATCTACATCAGTTTGTACATCATAACCAATCTACAGTCTGTACATCATAACCAATCTACATCATAACCAATCTACAGTTTGTACATCATAACCAATCTACTGTTTGTACATCATAACCCACCTACAGTCTGTACATCATAACCAATCTACAGTTTGTACATCATAACCAATCTACAGTTTGTACATCCTAACCAATCTACAGTCTGTACATCATAACCAATCTACAGTTTGTACATCATAACCAATCTACAGTCTGTACATCATAACCAATCTACAGTCTGTACATCATAACCAATCTACAGTTTGTACATCATAACCAATCTACTGTTTGTACATCATAACCAATCTACAGTTTGTACATCATAACCAATCTACAGTTTGTACATCATAACCAATCTACAGTCTGTTACATCATAACCAATCTACAGTTTGTACATCATAACCAATCTACAGTTTGTTACATCATAACCAATCTACAGTCTGTACATCATAACCAATCTACAGTTTGTACATCATAACCAATCTACAGTTTGTACATCATAACCAATCTACATCATAACCAATCTACTGTTTGTACATCATAACCAATCTACAGTCTGTACATCATAACCAATCTACAGTCTGTACATCATAAACCAATCTACTGTTTGTACATCCTAACCAATCTACTGTTTGTACATCATAACCAATCTACAGTTTGTACATCATAACCCATCTACAGTCTGTACATCATAAAACCAATCTACTGTTTGTACATCATAACCAATCTACAGTTTGTACATCATAACCAATCTACAGTCTGTACATCATAACCAATCTACAGTCTGTACATCATAACCAATCTACTGTTTGTACATCCTAACCAATCTACTGTTTGTACATCATAACCAATCTACAGTTTGTACATCATAACCCATCTACAGTTTGTACATCATAACCAATCTACTGTTTGTACATCATAACCAATCTACTGTTTGTACATCATAACCAATCTACCAATCATAACCAATATACCTTATCTTAATCATAACCAATCTACCCTATCTTCATTATAACCAATCTACATTATGTACATTATAACCAATTTACCCCCTATTTACATAAGAACCAATTTATTCTCTCTACATCATATTCAATCTTTTTATTCTACATCATAACCAATCTATCTGTCTACAGCAAAACATATCTACCCCATCTACATTATAACATATCTGACCTATCTAAATTATAACCAATTATAATATCCCCAAGAAATCAAGTACCTATAAAGTACATACAAGACCCTTATCCTTCATTCACAATTGTCATACAAAAATAAATAATACAAAAAAAAACAATAGTTAAAGTTAGTACAACATAAAAACATCTAGAACTAGAACAAAAGGTTTAGATCACATCCCCACATTCTTCCTGGGTCTTTTATATGCTATCATAGAATCATTTTGTCCAAATAATTCAAGAAAAGAATTAATTTCCTAGAGTTAAGGAATGAAATCTTTTCATTTATAAACGTCTGTGCAATAAATTACTTATGAAGTTTTACAAAGTTATGGGACAGAAGATATTAGGGTTACTTTTTTGTGCATTTGCTTCCAGGCACAAGCTGGTGTACAATCGTAGAACCAGTGACCAATTATTCTTATGCAAAGCAGCATAACTTACAAACACATAATGAACTAAACATGCCACAATGAAAGGGGATATGATGATGATGTGTAATAAATGACCATGGCGATAATGATTATATATTAAAATATATATTAAAAGTTATTTACTGGTGTAATGTGAAGAATTCTTCTGTAAATGAGAGTAAATTCATCATATAATATAGAATAAAACCTTTTTTCCTGATTTAAAAAGAAGGGGGAAAACAACACTTAGTAATTACAGACAGGATAGTTAAGTATATTGGTGTAAGTAAACAATCTGAATGAGAGTGGACAACATGATTCCATTAGACACATAAACCCCTGATGATCTCTTCTTAGAAAATGTGTGGCAATTACAAATATAACAGAGTGACAGAAAAAAACAATGAAAGATGTTATACCTTCATCACTGTTGGAACAATAAAAGAAAACACATACATATAAACTTATTTACATAGCTTCATCAATTTAAACAACATCATAAAAACCAGACTTTAGTGGTGGAGAAATCAAAGCAGGGGCAATAAACTTGAGTCAATCTGTCATGATATACTAAGTTGATTTAGTGTTTATTTTTGGCAAAAATATTCCATAAGTAATAATTTATCCAGAGTAACTTCAACTGATAGAGGGTTCCCTGCGGGTAATTATTTCATTAAATAATTCCTTCATATACTTTAAAGGTAATGAAATTTATAACGCTTAAGGCTCTATATTTTCAAGAGGTTTTTACTAAAATTATGGACCAGACATAAAGAAGGAATGTATTTATTGAAGGTAGAGATATAATACAGATCAGTGTTTATATCTAAGTTATGTGATAATATTGCACAAGATGATTTTACAATATGTTAAATATATATTAATTAAATAACCCTTGTAAAAATACATCATCATATAAAAATACATGTATATTTGTGTAAAACAATGTGTTTCAAGTGCAATGGTCCTATACCAGTGTACATGTACATGTATCATTTTGATTTAAATTCATCATTTTGATCTGATTTTTTCGCCTTGTAAAATCAGAAATATATTCTTCAGCCATTAAATAAAACACTTCAATAACAATAACTGAGATAAAGAAAAGAATACAAAAGTTATTGTAACCCTGAAAATATCATCTATTAATGCATTATTCTTCTCAAAATCAGAAAGCTTTCTTGAAAATTCCATCAATATCCTGATTTAAAATGCAAAGAATTTGTCCTTAATTAAAACACTTTTCTATTTGTAAAGGTGTAATTTGAGATTTTCAGTATTTTTTCAGTATAAATTACCAAAGTATTACAAATAAATGGTCAAGGAATAAATAGGTTATACATGGATTTGAACATTTCGATATTACTTACCAAGTCACTAACAAGGATGGCAGATTTCCGCGACGGAGGTTTTATTTCAGGCATGCTGTCTATGGAAGTGTAGAATTCATTGCGCTCAGGAAATCTGCAAATAGAATTTAAAAAAAAAAATCAAGATCATTTTTATAAAAATTTCATTTAATCGCTTTTTAAAGATAAGAAATACATGACTTTTTATTACAAGAGTTCTTTCATTTCTTAAAGCAACATTTTCTTCAGCAAATGTAAATGAACATAAAAATAAAACATTAATTACTAAACCAATAAATGGATTAAGTCACATCAAGCATTTAATACATATTTGAAAAGCACAAAATTTAAACATTCAAGATGATTGTTTTACTTCACTTGTATAATTAAAAGATCCAAAAAGATTATAATAAAAGATTTTTTTACATTGTATCTTTCAACATATTTCTTTTGTTAATACATTTATACTCTTTAAGTGAGGTTTTGTTTTTGCAGTTTTGAAGATAGTTTCACAGGTTTAGCTGGAAGCCGAAAATAAGATGACTATATATACAAAACGTACTTCAGTTACTGTATGACCTACTTTGATTTTTGCTTGCCCACATGTAACTTACTCAAATGATTCATCATCACTTCTTTCAATATTCACCTACCTTAAGAATGATGTCATATTTGTTAACTAACAATTTCCTTTCCAACAGTATCATAAAAGACTATATAACCATATTATTCATACACAATTTGACCTACATGAATTGTCTAAGAGATATTGACTTACCAGCTCACAGCCCTATTTTGTATCTTTCAACTTTCCCTTATTTATTCTTACTATTGCTGACAAATTGAATTATTAACTTTATATATGACTTTGACACTGAGGTTTAAAACAGTCTTCTAATTTTATCCTTTAACTTACCTAGTGTGATCTTTCTGGTAAATTCTGAAACTGTTCTATTACATGTCACTTTACAACAAAGTTAAGTCTTTCAACTTGATCTCAAAATTTAATTTTTGTTTAGAATGTGTTAAATTTAAGTGCATTTTTTCAGTCATCTAAAGAAAGGCAATCATCTTACAAATGTTCTTTGATTCTGCACCAACCAGTTTCAATCAGGGTTAAAGGGACTCCACTGAGTTTTTTTATTCTTGACATGACTGGACAGAAAATATTTTTTTCAATATATACATGTATGTATATATTTGATGAAGGTTAAATTGGACCAAAAACTTGTGTGCACATTTTCAGATCCTGTTTTACAAGAACATTATTTTTTATTGTGCAAATTGACCAAAATAAAAAGTGTTGCAATGCTTTTCACTGAAATTGGGCTATTAGAATCACACAAAAATCCATTTCAATTTAATTTTCAGTTTATTTCATTATCAACCAGATTTTTTCATTTTAAATGTCTGAATATTATCCTCTATAGACATGGTTTTATATTTATTTAGTTTTTTTTCTCTGCTGTTTATGTAATTATATGCATAATGAGATAATCAATTAAACTTGGAAACTTTGGCTTCTGTGACATTTTGATCTTCAATCAAACATGTGCCATCAATTTAAGACTTAAACTTGTGACTGTAAGGTATGTAAAACAGGCACTCTCCTTTCTAAGTTAACTTACCTTCCTTCATATATTTACATTCAAATACACTATGACAATGTAAAATAGAACAATGACCTTGAGCTTGACATTCAACTGTAATACATTCATACTTACTATTTACTTTCCATAATTATGCGTCCATTTACCTTGACCCTGAGTAATATTACCTTAACCCTGAGTAATATAACCTATCATTGGAACTACAAGTGCTTACATTCCATTATGATGTGTCCATGACCTTGAATATGGCCCCAAGTACAATTGTACAACATATATTCCCTCATGCTGTGTCCATGACATTAACAAGAGCCGGTTGAACCGGGTGATGCTCCCCGAATAGGTTTTGGACACAGGAAGGTATACCTCTTGTAGTGTCAGAGTTATGTCACAGACAAAGTTCAAAGTGTAAAAACAACCCAAATGTTGCGTGCGACACATTGTCTCAATATGGTGATCATTTCTGTGAAATATTTGTAAAATCTAACTTCAAATAACAAAGTTATGGCCCAGACACGATTTTCCTGCAAGGTCATGCTGTGACCTTGACCTTCAAGGTAGCCCCCCCCAAATATTGCACGCGAAACATCATCTCAAAATAATGATCATTTCTATGAAATAGTTTTAAAATACGACTTCAAATAATGAAGTTATGGACCGAACACGATTTTGCTGCAAGGTCATGCCGTGACCTTGACCTTCAAGGTAGCGACCCAAATGTATCGCCCGACAATTCGTCTCAATATGGTGATCATTTCTGTAAAATAGTTGTAAAATCGGACTTCAAATAATGAAGTTATGGACCAGACACGATTTTGCTGCAAGGTCATGCTGTGACCTTGACCTTCAAGGTAGCAACCCAAATGTTGTGCATGACACGTCGTCTCAATATGGTGATCATTTTTGTATAATAGTTTTAAAATTTGACTTCAAATAATAAAGTTATGAACCGAAAACGATTTTGCTGCAAGGTCATGCTGTGACCTTGACCTTCAAGGTAGCGACCCAAATGTTGCGCACGACACGTCGTCTCAATATGGTGATCATTTCTGTGAAATAGTTTTAAAATCCAACTTCAAATAACAAAGTTATTGACCGGACACGATTTCACTGCAATGTCATGCTTTGACCTTGACCTACAAGGTAGCAACCCAAATGTTGCGCGCGACACGTCGTCTCAATATGGTGATCATTTCTGTAAAATAGTTTTAAAATCCGACTTCAAATATTGAAGTTATGGACCGGACACGATTTTGCTGCAAGGTCATGCTGTGACCTTGACCTTCAAGGTAGCGACCCAAATGTTGCGCGCAACATGTCTTCTCAATATGGTGATAATTTCTGTGAAATAATTTTAAAATCCGACTCCAAATAACAAAGTTATGGGCCGGACACGAATTCGGGACGTACGTACGGACGGACAACCCGGCGACTATATGCTCCCCCGAAATTTTTCGGGGAGCATAAAAATGACCTTGAGTAGCATTACCTATAACAACTGTACAACTTACATTCCATTATGATGTGTCCATGAACTTGAAAATGACCTTGATTGATAATACAAATTACAAATGTGCAACTAACATGCTATTATGATGTGTCTATGACCTTCAAAATGACCTTGATTAGTAATACAAATTACAATTGTGCAACTTACATGCTATCATGATGTGTCTATGACCTTGAATATGACCTTGAATAGTATTATATACAAATGTACCACTTACATTCCATTATGATGTGTCCATGAACTTAAATATGACCTTGAGTAGTATTACATTCCATTATGAGTGTCCATGACCTTTAATATGACCTTGAGTAGTATGACAAATTACACTTGAATTGTACAACTTACATTCCATTATGATGTGTCCATGACCTTGTATCTTCAGGATGTGCACGTATCAAGTCACCATTTCTACCATCTACCAGTGTTCCAGTCTATACATAGAAGAAATATAACATTCATTACAACCTGTAACAATATTCTAACACAATAAATTTGTTGAATTTTTACAGTATGATATATATTCTATATTTTCATGGATTTCAAAATCAATGTGACAAACTAAAGGAGTAAACTGTGAAGAGTTTGGCTGAACTGGCCACATAGAATTGTGCGGGCCTAAGCTTGTTCTATACTGTTGGGTGGCATAGGGAATTGTAAATTATCTCCTCAAACACTCAGAAATTAAAAAGCTCACTGTAACCAAATTACCATACAAACAAATACAGTCCGACCCCGGTTATTCGACAACCCTTTATTCGAATACCCGGTATTATCCGAAGTTGATCTACGGTCCCGTTTTCATCTCTATATAAATTAATATAAATACCAACGTATTATTCGAAATGCATTATCCGAATACCTCCTATTTTTCGAAGCAAAATTCCGGTCCCCATTATATCATTATATAATAATTTCACACCTATTATTCGAAGCCCGACTAATTGGCACTGATTGACTCGCTGACCGTCCCGACTTGTGAAAAACTTTGCGGAAAAAACTTCTAACAGCGGTGCGTGTATTTAGTTAATTGTGATAATAACGATTTGCGTGTACATTTTAAACTGTAATCACCGAACATTAATCGTACGCTTTTAATTGAACGGTTAAACGTGTTCAGAATAACTATTTTAATTAATGAATGAAACTAAACAAATGAAAATAAACTGTGATATTAATTGGACGGTTAAATCTGTTCAAATTAAGATTTTAATGAAAGAATGGAATGAAAAAAAAATTAAACAAATAAAAACAAATTGTGAAAGACGATTTTAGGAAGAAGTGTGCTAAGCAAACAACAAAAACATCATTTCTAAAAAAAATAAACATGTTTTAAAGTGATGTAAAGTGAAAATATGATGTTAATTATTACCGAAATGTGTCTGTGAAAATTACATTTAGAAGTGAAAAATAATATGACTCTTCAAGTTGCTTGTTTATATTTTGACGAAGATAAAATATTTACTTTACTTGTATAATGTTGAATACATTTGAAATGCATGTACATGTATATCTATGATTTAAATCCTGCGCCGTGTCCGATGTTTTTTTTTCTTCCATACGGAAGATGACAGCGATATTTTTAATGTTCATGCATGTTTATATTAACCTATACGCTATATGTGCTACAGAATCTGGAAATAAAATGCAAGTAATGTTAAAATTAACATTAAAAAATATTTTTAAACATTTATTATTGTTTATTTGTTTCTCTCGATTGATTACCGGTAACAGAGGAGTTGTAATCATTTAGCTTCGCTAGAATTGGCGATATGGTCAAGTGGTGTAGTTTTTGTCAATCACTATGTTCGGATTTGGATTATTCGAACCCATCGATTTTTCGAAGTAAATTTTCAGTCCCCGGAACTTCGAATAATCGAGGTTGGACTGTAGAACAAAATGATAAATCATTGGATTGGCTTGTAAATGATGATGACAAAAATAAATTCAACAAATTGAAGAAATAAATTTTCCTATTTCAAATATTTTCCAATAAAATATAATTAAACAGACACAATTTCAAAATACCATTTACCATGCAGTTGAAATACAATATAAAATAAATAGAATATTTTTTTTCCTGGCATTTTTATGTTCATCTGGAATACAGCTTAAATTAAAATGCTGAAATACAATATTATTGATGTATGTATTTAACACAATAAATTATAACAAAGACAATGAAATTCAATGTTGGTAAGTCATTATAAAGTAAAATGGCAGTTTTAAATGCCATATTGGACCAAAATAGAAATTAGCACAAGTAATTGTAAATAAAGATAAAAGCAATGGCAGTACAATACAAGATCAATATCATACAACATTAATGTAGTAAAGCAGCACCATTGGGGGGGATTATCTCTTTTAAAAATGGACACTGACAATATTAACATGTAACTGGTGTTGCGTGCAACACTTCAGACCCCTGCCTGCCCTCCTTTTGATAGTAAAATTCTACATATTTCAACTGCCATTGCAAGAAGAATTCTGGCAAGAGGTACATAATCTGTTCTGGTATTACTATAATTAAGATTCACAAAAGTGGGGAGATTTTTACTTTTTATGTAATTTTTATTTTAGATGAATACTGAGCTGAAAAAATAGGTCATTATAAAATTCAACATATATAATATGAAAAGGTCAAATAGGGTGTCAAGCTGGTTTTGGAAGACAGATATCTGCACTGCCATTCATTTTTAATCCACTCAAAACCAAAAATTATTTTTTGGCATTAAAATGGTATTAAACTAAAAGTACATTTTTAATTGACAATGCAATGTGCCAGTAATACTTGGTAATTATGTCATTGTCCTAAATTTCAAAGCAATATGACATAATAATTATGAAACAATTACATAGGATTGTTAGTTAGTTACCATAGTTTGTCATTATGTGGACTCCTACAGCATATAGCAAAGCTTAGGCACTTTTAGCAAAAACAAAGTTTGTTTAAAGAATCAGCAGTTTTAATCAAGCTTTTGAGGAAGATGATATTTATTTCACTGCAATAGCACTGTTAGAAAGACAACCAGCAACTTTTTTTCACCCACTTAAGATGTGGTGGTTTTGGTTTCCAAAACTTATAAGCCACTTTTTTAACATTTTTGTTTTTCATCTGATGTGGCATTAACATCATATGATAGTATATAAACAGGAAAACTTAAAAAGACCTTTAAAGCTATAGAGATGGAAGATATTCTTAGAAATCCCATCATGCATTATTTCAGGTACAAGCATGCACCAGAGTGGAATGTGACCAGGGAAATTTATTGCTCCTGCTCCTTATATACTAGCATCAGTGAGGACTGGAGACAATATACACACCTTGGGTCAAAGACTTGTATACAAAAGTGTATAAAATATATAGTGCTGCTTAATATGGCTGTGCAAGATTTATAGCATTCTTAACATAGGCAAATGTAATACTTTTTATATTTGAATTTCAAATCATGTAAATGAAAATTCATGAGATAATTATAATATAAATATAAAATGGTAAATGGCTTAAAGACAACACTACCCACAACTTTAACCTATAATAAATCAAATATTTAAACAACATAATAGATATTGTGGAGCTCAGCAAATTTGGTTTTTTCTCATCTAATCCAGGAGTACAAACAAAATTTCGCAAATATATCAATAGTAAGTGCAATGCCTTAATCCCTTTACTGTGTAAGGAAGTGCATGCTGAAGCTAAAATGGTAAAAATTTGTTTGTACCGAGGGATTGGAAAAACCCATGTTTGCCTCCTTTTGGATAACAGCAGGGTTGATTTTCAATCAGGTTATACTAGGAATGATTATAATTTATAATAATTACACTGCACACATACACAGGTGTTTATTCAAATCCAAAGTTAAGATTGTTCATTATATCATACAATATTAAATGAAATAAAGGACATTTAGATATAACCATTTCACACCTTAGTCATTTACAAAGAGGATAGATTACATAATTAAATGGGCAAACAACCTGGAGAAAATTAATATTTCCTGTCTCTTATCATTAACAAGGAAATGAAAAGCCATTCCCAAGAATAATTCCTTGTAACTATTTAAATCAACAGTGGTAAAGGAATGTGTTTGATGAAGCAGATATATATGAAGCTTGCAATTTTTGCATACATGATAATCATGTTCTTTCCATTTTTTCTATACATATTATGCTTCCTTTACCATTTTTTAGTTATAATGCAAGACAAATGTGAACTGATAAAATATCTTACAAATCTATGAAAGTCCTTCCAAATTTGTATACCTTTCAAACTGTTAAACTAATCAAATCCAAAACAATTTATTTGCTCAATGGAAAATATTAAACTTACATCTTGTTAAAAAAATCTGGTTGCAGATTCATTTTTGAAGTATGCAATGCATATAATAATCTAAAAACATTTTCTACAGCATCTTAATTTGAATATTTAATTCAAAATGAGAAATATTCGCTTTAATAAATTTTCATTAAATTTGAAACTCAGAGTTTGCCACTCCTTCCATGAATGTTTCTCAGTTCAAATTTAACTTGCTCTGCCATATTCTGTTTAATGTTATTTTGGTGTCAAACTATGCTTACCATATTCCATAAGTCTAAATCCTATCATAATAATTAACATGTAACTAGCAAATCAATTATCATTTTAATACTTAATAACAAATACTATGAAGTAAATGACATTAGTTTGTCGTTTGTATATATATGGCTGAAATGTTTATTTCAATTACAATGTGCATAATAATGGATAGGGAACAAACTGTTTAAGACACAATTCCTATACACAGTGAGGTATGGGACTGGGTGGCCTAGCTGAAGACAATTGTGAAGTTTGAAATGAATACCTTCTGAGCAAAAGTTGCATTACAAAACTTTTACCAAATGTTGTACTGACTTTATAGGGTCGAAAAGCCATACTATTCTTCATATAGTTGAGCTCAAATGATAATAATCTTGATAACATGTAATATAATATCCATATATTAAACAAGAGCTGTCCGTAAGACAGCGCGCTCGACTTTTTTATTGCTTGCCAATAAAAAAAGTTTTTGCAGTAAAAGGCAATACAAGAATCTCTGTATTTTTAAAGTGAACAATGGCCATGAGCATTAAGATATTTAGTGAAGAATTATTTTACTGAATTGTGTGATACCCTTGAACACTGCTTGCCTATAATACAAAACATTGACAGTTAAGGGCCATAATTCAAATAAAATCTTTGACAGAATTACCTTCTCCTGGACATGTTTGGGAATCATGATTGTAAACAAGTATTCCAACTTTCAAATTAATATCTCAAACAGTTCAGTCAAAAAGTGGACTGGTACTAAAAACTTAACCAAGATTCTAAGTCGATAAAAGGCCTTAATTTTTAAAACAAATCCTTGACAGAGTTACCTTCTCTTGCGTACAGATGGGGGTAATGATGTGAAATAGCATTAAAAGTTTCAAAGCAATATCTCAAAGGGTTAAGGCAATAAGTGGATTTTACCCATATTCAATGTATTTTCTAAGTCAAAAAGGGGCATAATTCTGTCAAAAACCTTGACAGAGTTATGTCCTCTTGTCTGTTGATGAAGGTCGTGATGGTAAACAAGTATGGTCAGTTTCAAAGCAATACCTCCAATGGTTTTGAAATAAAGTGAGGTGGTACAAAAAACTTAACCAAGCTCAATACACTTTCTAAGGTCAAAAAAGGGCCATAATTCTGTCAAAAACCTTGACAGAGTTATGTACTCTTGTCTGTAGATGGAGGTTATGATGGTGAACAAGTATGGTAAGTTTCAAAGCCATACTTGTAATACTTCTGAAATAAAGTGGGGTGGTACGAAAAACTTAACCAAGGTGTGACGCCGACGCCGACGCCGGGGCGAGTAGGATAGCTCCCCTTTTCATAGAAAAGTCGAGCTAAAAACATATTAAAAAAATCCAGATTTTGTTTTTCTATTTTGATTTTTTTTATATATGGATATTATATTACATGAATAACAAGATGGCAAGTCAATGTGACTCGCACTTTTGGTTGAGCTTATGAACATGTCATAATGATATAATGACATAAGTAATTATTTTGTACTTTACTATAACACATGTGTTACTGTAAAACATATGCTGTGAAAAATTAATGTAAATGCTGAGCCATGTTTTAAAATTAATGGAGATGATTATTAAGAATAAAGAATTAATAAAATCAAGAAATATCTGGAAAAAAACATGCTTTAAAAAAAATTTACTTAAGATTTAAACAATTATATAAGAAACACAGAAAATACACAGTTATAATGATTAATACCAACTTAGCTTAAAAATTCTATATAAAGCAGTGTGGCAATACCGTGGTATATGACATCATTTTTCCAAGAAGCACTTTTTCAATGATTATAGGAGACAAAAATTGCTATAAATAATTGCATTTGCCGTGATTCTGAGAGAAAAAAAAACTGTTGTTATTATTTTGTATTAATTCTATTCTCAACATATTTAATAGGATCTATTTGCAAGAAACCTTACCCCATCCCATAGTTTGAGCTATCTACCATGACAATTATAGACAATATAATGAAACACTAACAGCAGCTTTTTTCACATTAATTGAAGCTAGACATAGCTTAAAATGAAGTCATATTTCATTAAACATGGTCTCTTAGATATATAAATGATTGAAATTGAAATAAATACATAATTATATACATGTATCTAAATTAGGCAAACACTCTGAATGCTTAGTATGAATAACTGACTTGTCTTGGAATTATCCTGACAAACAGCACATACGGCATATATCATCACCTTAGTGCAGTAACGGGTTAACTCCTATTAAATTTTATTAGGAGTTCACCCATTACTGCACGAAGGTGACAATGTGATCATGTTAGCCTATTAACTCTATACCTGTGAAAAAATGATTATCATAATTATATCAATACTACACTTTAGCATTCAAAGAACATGATGCAATCATCACATAATCTGCTATAGCTAGATTAAGTATATCCATGGTTGACAACTTATATGAAATAAAGGTCATACAACAGTTTTGCAGTCTTGTTACCCTTGATTTTCAATGACTACATGCAATCATGTTCTAAATGCTAATATGTCTGATATTTAAAAGTGGCCTGAAATAAACAGCAATTAAGTGCTATTCCTAAAATATCACCATTTATGTAATTATATATTTTATAACTTAGGTACTAATAGTCAGAGGCAAACAAGTTGTTCAAAACATTTAACAGAATAGCTTTTTAATTAACCCATGAGGTAAATGCCAATGTGTGATTGTGTTTCCACATTAATGTATAGACAAAAAGAATGGATTCTTAAAGAATGGCAAAACCTTCATCTCTAAAGCCACATGCGTAAATATTTCAAAATAATTCACAAACTATTTCTTTCCTCCCACCTTTATATAAAAATTATGCTATTTTTCATCTTTGAAACAAAATTTAATGTAACATAGACTTTGCCAATATATGTTCCTTTTTGAAAACTTTAAATATGTTATCATTTCTCACCTCTCTTTGTATTTCTATATTGTCTCCATTTTCATCTTCCCTTACAATATTCCCTTCAATAACAACAGTTTCATCATCATCATCATCTTCAACCTTATTCAAAACATCTCCTTCCTTGTTTTCTATTTCTGTATCATCAAGGTCTCCTAGATCATCTATAATATTCTTAACATTATCCTCTTCTTCGGTTGTAGCACCTTGCTCACTTTCCAAAGATTCCCAATCCTGTATTACCTTTTTTAGCAATTCCTTATCAATTTCTTCGCCGTCAACTCCAACAACAACAACTTCCTTCTCTTCTTCTTTTTCATTGGCTTCGCTAACTTGTTTTACAATCTCTGATAATTTCTTTTTACCTCCATGTCTACGCCTCATAACACTTCCCCATTTAGGGTGACCATATTCTTTTTTTATTTCATCATGAATCTCCTTAGCCTCTTCCTCAGACAGACCAAGGAAGTTGTCTTGACCTTCCTCCCAAAATACACTTAACAAACCTCCCATTTCTCTATTTTTCACATTTTAGTCCAGAATAAAAATGTCTTGAGTCTCAATAAATTGAGTTTAAAACTACATTTTGATGCAGGTGTAATTTTGTTCTTGCTTTATTATTTTTATGCACAATTTTACTTCACTCAGTTAGACAAAAATAATTCCTAGAAATTACAGAAAGTTTTTTTAAAGGAATGTTTCATAGTCAATACTGGCCTTATCACAAACTATGATAAGCTGAACTAAAGTAGTACATGTATTCTCTAAAAAAAAAAATAATAATTCAAACATTTCTGCTCCAGCATAGAGGGATTCAGGTAGCCTAGGGTTTGACATATGTCTGGAACAAAATAAAAGGATTGAAAGACTTTAGTTAAGATTATGAAAATAAAGATATTCAGGGAAGGGCCACATTCAATGAACATATCTCCTATCAAAAAAACCATCAACAGACAACCATCAGCCAGCCAATCAAAGCCAATCAAACTGAAGTCAGGACCAAGTATATTAACATGACATAAGCCGATGAAGAAGATTTAAATTAAACTTTTCACATTAACATAAAATATATAAATACATTTGTAGTGATTATTATATATTCAATAGTCATTTTTCAAAAACTAATGAGTAAAATATTTATTTTGATATTACACTTCCCTACTGGCCTTTAATTTTACTTTGAGGCATATTCAACTTTTACTTAAAAATAATACAATCAAGAAAACATTATCTGTATCATATATCATTTGTCTTAAATATAATTGTCTTCTAGTAAACTTGCCATCTGCTGATATTGTGTGGGAACAGACTCAGATATGCAAATATCCAAGATTTCATAGACCATGTTCAATATGCTTTGTAATTCAGTAAAAAAAATACAGATTAAGAATTCTTACAGACACATATATTATAATTCTCTACTACATACTTTGCTCTAAGAGAACTTTAATAATCTCAAACAATTTATAATGTTTATTTGAAATCAGTCTGTATCCAGGGCAACACATATGCTTAAGGAAATATATCAGAAATCTATCACAGAAGTTTATGTAAAATCACTTTCAATCTTTTTAATGTTTCAACAAGAACTATTAAATCTTATAAGCCATAAAGGTTTTAATTTCTATATTACATTAATAAGAGTTGATAATGAAACATATAGTTAGCCAATCTTTTTATAACGTTACACCACAGAAACCAAGTTAAATATATAAAGACAATAAACATAGTAAATGTTTACAATTCTAATTCTACCCATTTGTATTTTATTTTCCTAATTTATCTTATATCAAGTCTTCAATTTAAATGATGAACATTGTAAAATTTTCAAAAGATATTATTTAGTAACTTTGCTAAAGTACTGCACTATATTAAGGCAAACTGCCGACAAAATTAATATCAACTAAATTTCTTAACTTACAAATAGTGTTCCAGACACCACTAGGCTACCTTGGCTTTGAACACCATCTGACTTTGAAAAAATAATCCTTGAAAATTAGCAATCAAATAAATTACTCACTACAAAACTCTTAAAGTTCTGTTGCTTTTTTTTTGTAATTACTATCAATGCATTATTGTAACATCAAAGAAATAAGC